GTGGCTAGCTCCGCACTCTGATCTTCAGGCAAGCACAAACAAAATATTACTACACCATTCATCCATTTGTTTGTTTGTTTTCAAGGGTCTCTGTCTTAGCCAATGTTCTGTTTCTGTGAAGAGATACTGTGATCACGGCATCTCTCTTTCTGTGTCTCTCCCTTACTGATTTTTTGAGACAGGGTTTCTCTGTGTAACAGTCATATCTGTTCTGGAACTAGCTCTGTAGACTCACAGAGATCTGCCTGCCTCTGCCTCCCAGGTGCTGGAATTAAAGGCATGTGCCACCACCACCCGGCCATGGTAACTCTTATAACGAAAACATTTAATTGAGGCTGGTTTACAGTTCAGAGGTTTAGTACATTAACCTTGTGGTGGGAAGCATGGTGGTGTGCAGGCGGACATAGTGCTGAGAGGGAGCGAGAGGTTTATATCCAGATCAGCAGGCAGCAAGAAGAGAGAGGAAGAGACACTAAACCTGACTTGAGCATTGGAAACCCTAAAGCCCACCCTCAGTGACACACCTCCTCAAAGACCACTCCTACTCCAACAAGGCCACACCTCCTAATCCCTACCAAGTAGTGTGACTCCCTAATGACCATGCACTCAAATACATGAGCCTATGGGGACCATATAAGCAAGCTCTGGGTTTGATTGAGAGACCTTGCTTCAATAAATAAGGTGGAAGAGTGATAGAAGATGATTATGGGCAATGCCCTCGGGTTTCCACATGCTCACATGTGTGCGCGCGCACACACACACATACACACACAAGAAATGGGGACCAAGGAGAGGCATGCATGCCCAGCTAGGACCATGAGGTGTCCATCCCACCAGGGGAGATTTTAATACTGAACCTCAGCAATCACAGTGCATCAGGCATGGATAACAGTGACACACACCCCTACTGGTGATGAACAGTACACTGCAAAAGCTCCCGGTGTGAGCCAAAACTGCTGCCCAGTTCGGACCCAATTAAGCTCCCCTGTTCTTCCCTTACCCACCTGTCCTTGCTGGGGACTGAGTGTGGTGGGGCTTCAGGGTACGTGCTGGGAAGGAATTTGAAGAGAAAAGCAGTCGCCGTTGAATGGAGGATGTAGAGACCCTCACATGAATTCAAAGATCTTTCTGCAGCTTCTCAGGCAGGTCACCTTTCAAACTCCACTCGTTTGCCACCCGAGACAGAAGCCTCGTGCCTCCAAAGCAACTAAAACCCTCTCTGGATCCACTCACACCATACACATATTAGGCACCTTTGACATACCTGGCCTGGTTGCTGGATGTGAGGACACAAAGGGTTATCAAATGCAAGGCCTGGAAACCTCCTACAGTTCTAGTCAACAGGTGCACCTAACATGGGCCGTGGGCAGACAAGTGGAAAGCCCTCTCAGAACAGGGTGCAGGAACAAACTGACTCCTCATCATGCTTGCCATGCCCCCGAGGTCCAATAAGTCTGAGAATCCATGCCTCACTGTTATCCAGGGGTTGGGGATACACCTCAGGAAAGGTCCCCACCAAGGGCCAGGGATGCTAGAGAGGGACCTCTGGATGTGGGGGCCACATTTCCAGATCTGCTCTGCCACATGGTAACTAGTCAGCTATGGGATGGACTCTTTCAGCATTGAGCCCCATCTGCCTTGATGAGGGATACCTGCACCCCACCCTCAGTGAGCTGGAGGAATTCAGTGGTACTCACTAAGATGATGGTTCTCCCTGTACCATGTGGCAGGTACCTGTGGCTGCTCTGGCTGATTTATACCCCTCCCTGAGACCCTTGCCCCAAGTCCTTATACTCTGCCTTATTAATGTAGTTATTAAAAACTCAGAGAAGGATGTTGGGGTGCAACCTGAAGACCAGAAAAGCAAAGATGTCAGCCATTGGCTCTTACCCTGACATCAGTCTGAAAATGGCGATCCTGCCTCCAGGAATCTCAGAATAAGACTGAGACTGAGAGCTGCCTCCTCCCATTTTATAATCCTCTCTAGTTCTGGGATTAAGGGTATAAACCACTGGTTTCTGTGGCAAACTAGTGTGGCTACTGGGATTATTGCTACTTGGTCTGCAAGGCTGTTTTACTTTTCTGATCCTCAGGCAAGCTTTATTTATTAAAATGCAAATGAATGCCACTACACTTACCCCTTCTCAAGACTTCAGTAAAGATGTTTCGACCTGACATCTTTTGGGAAAGAGTCCTGGTCTACTACTAAGATTCTTGGGATTGAGCCTCAGCTCTGCCTTGAGCAGGTCCATTGTCCTATCTGGGTTTTCCTATCTGTGGGCTGGTGGGGCTCCTGGAGCAAAAAGAAATGAAAGGGGGTAACCTGCACACACCAGAAGCCCCTATAGTGCTCCCCTCCCCCACAGCAGGAGCAACCAAGATGAAAAGCCTGATCCTGACTGTCCTCCATTTATTTAGGGATAAATGACTCCCAGGGTGGCAGGGTTGAAGGAGGAAGGTGTGTGGCAGGCCTGGGACCCAGCTCAGTGTCCCTTCTCTCTGCCCGCAGTAGCACGATACAATCGCACCAGCTACTTCTACCCCACCACATTCTCCGAGAGCTCTGAGCACAACCGCCTGCTGGTCTCTCCAGTGCTGGTGGCAAGCGCGGTCATAGGTGTGGTCATCACCCTCTCCTGCATCACCATCATCGTGGGAAGCATCAGAAGGGACCGACAGGCCCGGATCCAGCGACACCACCATCGCCACCGCCGCCACCATCACCATCACCGCCAC